GGCGGTTATAATGTACGTAAAAATCTGGACAACATTGTATTCTATCGAAAGGTCTATTATTGGGACGATAGCTGCAAATTCGCATGACATAACAATGTTCAAGATTCTGACAACCAAAGATGTGCCATCCGGGTCGCGGCAGCATTGACTATACAACATTTTCGAATAATCTACTAAATGTAGAGTCAGCGCTGTTTTCACTCACTAGCCTCGGTTATTTTGTTCTCCTATTCGACGGATGGGCTTGCGTGACTTAAATTCTGGTGGTGTCAGGGCCATATTTTTACGAAAGCGAATACTTTGGAGATGCCCCGAATAAATTAAAATTGCAATGCGTCCCTAAAAACCCACATTAATACAAAGAATATGGCGGAATACAATTTATTTCTTTTTCAGCCTATACAGAAAGTTCTTTAGCAAGTACGTCACATTTACTCACCGGATAAATTGATCTCGTTCTGGGCGGCCTATTGGTGGCGACCGCCAGGTCTTCACACTTAAGGAAATTTCATCAGCAATACAGAATTCTAGCTGATCTATAGAGTGTATCAATGTGATGCCACAATGAACGACATTAAAGTAGGATACATTTTTGGTTTATTGAGAGGAAAGACAATCTACTTGATTGGTAACAACTTATATTAAAGAATGCTAGTTTCTATCCAAGATATGATTCTCGTTTCCCATAATATAACCTAATTTGTATCGCGTATTTTTCTAACGTACCAAGTATGCCGTGACCATGTCACTTAAGTCATAGGCATGATGTGACATAAACTTAGCGCTAATTATTTTATTTCAACAGAGTGATGTCTGCTCCAACATCGTAATGGATCGATAGCTTACTTGATGATAGTCTCTCTTTTACCGCAATGTCTGCGCAAACAAAAGCTTGGAACAGTTATACGCTATTTGCCATCAATATATAAAAAAGTGATGGACGGCGAACGTGATATCTAGTTCGCTGACAGAAATAGCATTTAGATTGAAGATGTACAATCGGATCTTCAAAATTAAGATACGAGATAAACGTTATAATTTAGTCGTTAACAACATTGATAGATAGTCTATCGGTTGTAGATGAATAGTAGTACCCATCACTCCATTCAATTCGTGTTTTAAGCTTTAATTAATGACTGCAATGTAGCAGAACACATTTTCATTACGTGCATCAAAAATGAACTAAGTAGCTTAGATATACGTAGTTCGGCGTGGCTTGAAACTATATCGGTAATATCACGTAAAACGAGACGTACTGAAGCATCTTATAGGTACTGTAAGTCGATAAAGTACTAAATACCATCTGCCGCCGCATCATCCAAAGGTCGTCTCGAAAACATCGATCCATTTGTTAAATGACACAAAAATGCAGAAAAGTAGTTCAAATATTGTGGTGTTTTAAGATTACGGGCGCGATAACGAAAATTATTAGTAGATCAATAGAATGCTTGTCGATACGCGCAATCTACAGGGACAACTTACTAAGCTCATTACATAAATTTCGAAGTATTTTAACCATGTCGAGCGATTACATGCCTTCTATTTAAGATATCTATAGTGTCGCACGTGCAAAGATGCAAATGATGACCCTGCACGTCTCGTAATTATAATTCTCCTGACCTTAATATGTAAATCTGGACTGGCCAAAGAAGTTCCTCGACAGAAGCACAGAAACGTGCCCCAATGTCAATTTACAGAAAAAATATGCAGGAGTTGTTAGAATGTCACAGATGGGAACCACAAGTTTTGGACGAGGTCAGAGCATGGATTCCTAGCGACTTGATATGTGTTAGGAACACTAAGAAATAAGTAGGAGGTCACTATGTTATATCTCATAAGTAATACTCAGATCTGCAGATCTACCACAAATGACATACGGACATAAATTAACACATGTATGCGAATGAGCAAATATGAAGAGTGAAAACAATGGAGAGAGCTGCCGAAGCATATAATTCCGTCCACTCATATGTAATCATGTTTGCAACCAAATACATTTGCGCTGTTTTTTATTGGAGTAATTAATAGAAGCATTACCGTTTTTTCAAAATTGCATGCTAATGACGAGAATCTAAAAATAATACCCTTTGCTCGAAGTGTGACATTTAAGGCATGAGCTAAAAGCTCAATGAGTAAGTGAGTGATTATTTCAACGTCAACTTGCCTCATCTGTATCGGGTGGCATAACACGGTCCAAAAAATTCATGACTTATGTGGAAAAGCTACAATTGCTGTGAGCTGTTAGGGGGTCATAATTCTACGGTACGAGCTGTAAATTGATAAAATAATTGGCACATGAGTTGAACAATCGGAAAGAATGATACGTAGAAGTGCATGTACATATGTTGCATCAATTATAGATATACCAATCTCTTCTAGGTACGTACACTAGGAGCCGACACGTTTCGTCTATACAGAGAAACACCTACTTAGATTGTATCCAGTAGATTGTATATTCCATTTATAGCTGTTGGGCAAAACTTATCATCGTGTACATTTTTATGATACGAAAATCTATTTGTTAACGATAGGGGTTGGATGCTTTGTTACAGCGTACAATTTTGCACCATTGTAGTTCCGTCTGATTGACGTTTGGTGTGTATATTATTGGATCGATTCGTACGAAATCTTTCATTCCCAAATGGTAGATACTGAAGTCGCTATTAAAGTAAACGGACCAAGCCACGTTTTGACGACAACACTTTCCTGTTGCCACAAAAAATGGTAAGCTTTGCTACAGAAAAACCATCGGAAGAGATCCGACAAACATATCTGGCAACATGGATCAACGAAGCTGCCAGCAAATTATATTGACCTCACTCAGAGGAAATTTGTAAGTGTCAACTCGAAGTCGCCAAAATTTGTGCATTAAGATTACATGAGAGCATTCAATTGATTAGTGAGAAAGCACTGTGTATGCATCTAATAAGCAGCTTATAAGGGTTCAGAGATAACCCCAGATATGTCAAAATACCTCTTAAAACTCAAGATGAATCGTAGCTAAGCTACCGTACTATCATTATACATTCGCAATCAACATGCGGCGGAGAATTAATAGTATTGTTCTGTAGACTCGCCGAGTGCTAAGTAATCTAAAGTTTATCGAAAATGTCAATGCGACACAACGATCTAGTTTGGAATTTTATTTACTCATTAATAGTTGGTGATATCGTTGAATCCTTATGAATAGGCTCAAAGTAGTATGACGTATCATACGAAAGACTGAGCTATATATGATTTATGTGAAATTCTATAGAAGCATTTACAGCACATTTTGCATTTAATTATTTAAAGACCTATGAATATGCGCACGTATCTAATTTTTTTGTTTTTTTCAATTATCCATATACACATTCTAATTAAAATAGTTGCTGCTAGAGGTCAAAAACGGTAAAACAAACAAGCTCACGTGCCTAATGATTACATAAACGATTTCACGAGCCTAAGTAAGTCAGTAAGTTTTGATCTAGTTGTACCCGTGATTACATGCTCAATAAAGGCTCGCGTTTTGACAGTATATGGCCCACATGTTCGATACCGATTGTATTATTTGTGGAAATATTGCTGCAACCTGATGATGGGTCATACATACTCAGTGGCAGTCAAAATGTCGATTGATTGGTTAAAAAGGATTTTGGAAAGCGCCAGTTGGCTAATTTGCGAGTCGTGTGCGTCTTACCGAGGTGCACTCTGTGTGTGGAGTGAGCGACATCGTGAAACTGTTAAAATAGGAATTATTTATAAAGTGTGGTTATACTAGAAATACTTAAGCAACATATATTGTCAATCAATAAAACTCGATCGTTCTGCTACATTCTTTATATGGGGGTAATTCCAGTCGCACGATTTTAATCCAAGAAGAGTCAAATAGCATATAAAGTGGATTTTTGAAGTACTGTCGCGCACTTTGCTTGACGTGCAATCAGTTGAGACATCGTAGTGCATACAGAAGTAGCCAAAAACATGCAATAGGCATCATCTGGATCCATTTTATTGTCCAGAGTCGTATCAAATGATTTGTTCTGTTTTCTGCAAATATCAATTACATAATAGATAAAGTGGGTGACGTTACCCATCTAAGTGGCGACGACGATGTGTCTGCCTAATATGGTCTCAGAAGAGCTAAGAATGCTAAAACTGAGCCTAAAACTGACCTTACTCTTAACTATTTACGTATAATGGAATATGTGGGAAGTAAATAATTCAAGAGTAAAACATCGGAGTAAACGCATCGACGGTGACTTAGCTCTGGTATGTGACAAAGTATTATGATGAGCTGTGTAAATTCGCACATTTCTATCTGCAAGAAACACATTAGAGAGTACGACACGAAGCGAGAATCAACGGTATGGTCACCATTTCGCTCACGACCCATGTGTAGCCACTCATCAGCCGGATGTCAGACCAGGGTGAGACCATCTAACTGCTCCATCATAACGGGGATGTAACAGGGCACCACCAGCTACGTACTGGACTACCAGTACGGAGCCAACTTTCACTGACAACAGTGGAGGTTACTGCCATGTTACCTCTATACACTGCACAGAGGAAGGGTAAACAACTAAGACAAAGACTGTAGTCGTAGTAAAAGTAAAACTGTTATCTAATACAATTGAGCCCAATATCATTTGTGTTTAATTTAACCTAACTTAAGTATATTAATAGAACCGAATCTATGATGACGTCTGCTAACCACCCATTGCGCGCGTCTAGCAGCGATTGAAGGGTTGATTTAAGCACAATATCAACCAATGAGTAGTCATTTAGGTCGTCTCAACAATATTACTGACCTTATCGATGTTGTAGTGAGACTATTAAACTTTATATTCTCGATTGTCATATTGTCACAAAGGATAATAATAATAATATTATGTAAGAGGCTCACCACCTTCCATTCTGGGCGCTCTTTTTCTTAAGAACACGGACGTGCGACTCGGACGTGTTGGCACTTAAACATTTGCTCCCTCCCTCGCTCGAGACGGACAACGACATCACCGACGATGCGCCTCCACACGTTCACGCTCGTCGTGTTCACTGCGGTTCTAGCACACAGCGCGAACTCTACGAAGACGTCCAACTCGACGACGACGGAAGGTGCTCCCCCGGCAAGTCTTCGTTCCTCTGACGCGTGCTGCGATGACGTCCCTGTTGAGCAGAGGCTGGGTCCACACGAGACCACGGCGGTCGAAGAGAGGATGCCAGAGCCATGGATTCCATCATCAGTTAACAGCGCAGTTGCTCGTCTCGTGGAAAAGTTGCATGCGCAATATCCGGTGGAGCTCGCGGTCGAGAACTTTCCTGTAAACGTGTTGCGAGAATTCGATGAGAATGCTATCCGACACCTTTTTCGTTCAGAATCGGCACACATGACAACAGAGCAGCTGCCGGAACACGCTCAAATTGTTGATCGCTGGCTGCAAAACAAACTCGAAAAAGGACCCAGACTGATCGCAGAGGCTCGCCAAGTATTTCTTGCACATGAGGCGGAAATGGGAGCAACGGTTCACCAAGATTTTTTTGCACGTCAGGCGGAAATGGGAGTGGAAACTCCCCAATATTTTCTTTCACTCCAGGCGGAAATGACAGCAGATGGTCACCAATTTATTCTTGCAGACCAGGCGCAAACATTAGTTAAGGCTCACGAAATGATTCTCAAACACCAGGAGATAATGATAGCAAAGACTCGCCAAGATTTTCTTGCACACCTGGAGGAAACGACGGCTCAGGCTCGCCGTTCTTTTATTGGAATCGAGGCGGATTTGACAGCTAAGGCTCACAAATATGTTCGTGCATACGTGGCGAAAACGACGGCTCAGGCTCGCGACTTTTTTCTTGCAAACCAGGCTAAAATGACTGCAGAGGCTCGCGATTCTTTTCTTGCACACCAGGCGGAACTGACAGCTAAGGCTACCCAGTCTTTTCTTGCAAACCAGGCGGAATTGACAGCTAAGGCTACCCAGTCTTTTCTTGCACACCAGGCGGAATTGACAGCTAAGGCCACCCAGTCTTTTCTTGCACACCAGGCGAAAATCGACAGCAAAGGTTGACCAATCTTTTCTTGCACAGCAGGCGGAATTAGGAGAAGAGGCAATAATGCGATTTGAGATGCATCCCAGTGCGTTGTTCAAAATCAGGCTCCAGCAAGTCAAGGCCGATGCATATAAGAACAGGGACGGTCGCAAGAGAAGCCATGTTTCATCCCTGGACCTTGGCAGTCTGGACAGTTACAGGGAGACATACAACACGATCCACGACAGCAAAGAACTTACGTTGCGAGAAGTGATGTCGAGATGCATTGGGGACGATGCCGAACTCGCATCTATCCTGTCGATCCTGAATCTCAACAAGAAAAACAAAAAATATGTGGCGACCGTGCGAATGGAGTATATTGCGAACTTGAAGACGGTTGAAGACGCTGCTGAGAAGCTAGGTGTCCCATCAGGAACGACGGGAGTCATAAACGACAAAAACGTGGATATGTTACTCCTGGTCATCGGCACCATTGCCCGAAAACATAAAGATCAACATTCAGTCATCGTCGAGCAGCTCACGAAGAGGTTTGGGGGTCGTCAGGCTGCACTACTGATTAGTAAATCAACGGGGGGGCGCAGAAAAACATTCGAAGATCTGAATGAAAAGCTGTATGAGTATTTGATGAAGATAGGTACTACTCTTGACATGCTGCGCGACGAGATCATGAATGCAAGAAAGAAAAGAGCTGTACGACCTGGAAAACGTGGAAATGGTGGTCATGTGTTCGAGGAACGGTGCGAGAAGAAGCTTCTGATAGAGTATTCTTTGTATCGTAAAGATCATACGAACTGAAAACGAAAACGGGCAAGTGACACGAGTGCCGGTTCTTCGTGACTCTATCCGTCACTAGCAGCCGCCTGTAGATAAGCGAAATCAACAATACATGCCATTCGTGGAACAGACCTGTGTTGTGCTAAGATTAATCCGAGCAGGTAGGTCAAATGGTGTTTGCAAACTCGTGGGCACTTTTGTAGCGTCCGCACACGTTTAGCGACGTCACCGATAGCAGTGTGAACATCCGACGTGCCACCACACGACACGAGTATGAATAGTAGGTACAAGCACTTGCCAGGTCAGCGCACGTATCGCGTTTGGACGCGGCTCCTTCCCAACAAACAGCACACGTAACGACATGCTCAAGCGTTGGCCCACGAGCCGCAAATGCGTGGACGGCTATGACACCAGGACAGCAACATCGAGTCACCAATGCTGTCGCGCTAGGTATACTCTCTCCACGATTCTGATTGCTATTCAGGCAGTTGGACAACAAGGGTGCTGTTTGTCAAGGAAAACCCGTCCGTCCGTCCAGCATAAGCTCGCATCAGATGAGATCTGCTCTGACTTTTGTAGCAATCATCCCACAAGCTTCCGTAGATGTAGCAACCACATCGTGCGTCTTCCATGGACTTACAGCTAGACTACAGCTTCAAATGCGGCGATTGGCACTACGCTCGATGTAACGGGGCAGCCCGTTACATGGAATTGTCATTTTAAGAAAAGTGACACTAAAGAATATGAAGTTGAATATTCTTTAAACAATATCACCGAAGTGGTGATGTTGAAGGGTCGACCAAAGAGTCTGTTCATTGGTTGATATCTTGATGATATCAACCCACCAATCGCCGCAGGACGCGCGCAATGAGTGGTGACGAGACGTCACCATACACTCAGTTATATCAACATCATTAAGTCAGGTTAAACAAAGAGACAGTAGCAAAACAGACTTAATTATATTAATACAACAGTTTTACTTTTCCCTAATCTACGCTTCCTCGCTTGCCTTGTGTACGTCTGTCGGGGCACCGATACCCTTGCATTAAGTTACGCAAGGGTGTGCCCCGTTACACCTGGTAGCACTTTGTAGTCCTTCCAAGGACCACAACATCCAACATGAACATGTTGGATGAAGAAGACACCTTTCACGCCACGCGTGAAGGGTTTACCCATTTGAGTGACATCGAATGGGGTGCGGTAGAACGAATGAGTTCTACCGTAGGCGAATTCGTCATCAGCACCATGTTGGAGTCTCTAGACAGAGACCAACAACATGCCGCTATCGCCAAATTTATTCAAAATGAACTTGCTCGTCGAGAGGGAGAAAGTAGCCTTGCTTCACCAGCAAGGCTCTCAACAGGCCGAGCAGTTGAGAGAACTCGGTGCTCAACAGACGGAGCTGTTGAGACAGCAGCAATTCCATGCTGCTGTGGGCTGGGACGGCGCATGCGCGTCGTCCCGAATTCATGAAAGTCGACATCTCCAAGTACAGTGGAGTCCCGGAGGACTCCCTGTTACTATGGTTTGTCGAACTCGACAGAGCCCTAAGGGCTCGTCGCGTCGAAGATGGGCAAATGAAACTCACATTTGCTTAGACCCACTTGGCAGGGCGTGCCAAAAATTGGTCCCTGGGGCTCGAGAGTAGCGACCCAAATGTGTTTAGGTCGCTAGATGAATTCAAGCCCGGCTCAGACAAACGATTGAGCCGCCACGGGCTGAGTTCAGGGCTCGTTCAGAGCTCCTGAAACTCAAGCAGGGTAAGCGTGATGTGCACGATTACGCACAACATATACGACTCCTCGCGAGTAGTATAACTGCTAACCCAGTCCATGAACACACGTTGATTACGGTGTTCATGCAAGGGCTCGCAGAAGGGCCCGTCAGGAGCCACCTGTTCCGCCTTGAGCTGAATACGCTTGAAGAAGCGATATCATCCGCGGAACAGGAAGACTTTAGCATGAGACAGGCCCATGCTAGCTCAAACTCTTACCGTCCACTAAGACGACAAGAGATCGGAGGTCCAAGACCAATGAACCTCTGCTATGTTGAGAGCGAGAGACCTCGCTCTTCAAACAACAAGCGATTGCAGAGGTGCAATCGCTGTCAAAAGCTAGGGCACTACGCATACGAGTGTAGTGCTCCACGCCCAGTACCAAACAGTACTTATTGAAATGGACGACCATTCGCCAAGAAGGGCAATGGGCGTGGGTCCAGCGCTGTTTCGAAGCCGCAACAGCGAGACGGACCATCAAAAAATGGACAGGGTCAGTAGGGGCGGAGCGCCCTACTGACCCAGCAACCTCAAGAGAATTTGCAAATCTCTTGACGAAAGTTGCTCCAGATACACAATCATTGTGTGTCTCTGCACCTGGTGATGACGTTTCGCTCATCTCCTCGAAGTTGGAAGCGACAAATGATTTGTCGCTTCGTGCCCTAGTAGACTGTGGGGCGTCGAACAACTTTGTTCGTCAGCGAGTCACTAGAGGGTCGTAGGCTCAAGTTCGTTGAGCGCGACATTCCCCTCACAAGGATGACGGTGCGCCTTGCAACAGGCGCATCGATAACCGTCGAGAAACGTGTAGTAGTAATCCACTGACACGGTAGAGGGCGAACAGTACGGTGATGAATTCATCGTACTAGATCTGGATAACAAATTTGATGTCATCCTGAGATTACCTTGGATCAGAAGGTACGAGCCAAGGGTGAGCTGGCAGCATCGATCCGTGAAGATGCCTGCCACTTGTTCATCAGATGGCCATCTGATGAACGTCATGGAGCGTCCACAAGCGTGTGGATGTTCTGCGAGTGAGTGCGATGGCCTCACTTGCGGTTGGGTCGTTAGCACGACTGCGCAAGACCTCGGCGTAGCTGATCACTACACTGTGGAGCAAGCTCCCGGCGGCTATACAGAAGTACAGGCAGCGCCGAAGGTCCACCACTCAAATTATTCGAGTGGACCGGGACATGGATGCATGCCTAGCGGGCAGCATCTTTGAAAGAAGAAACATGTTGCCTCCAAAGGGCAACAAGATCATCCTAGGCTGACTGGAGAGTCGACCGTAGAGGATCGGTACCTGAATGTGGTTGCACAGCCACAGTCAGAAGACGTCGAGGGAATAAGTCTCCACGTACTTGAGGAAGGAATTCCTCAAGAGTCACTTGCTGAAGGATTAGTCCTTCAGCAACCTGTGGAAAGAAGTTACCAGGAAGTAACCGAGACGTTGAGCGTCTTGGTTAATGACGGATCAAGCGTTGGCGCTTATACGCTTGATCTGATTGTGCCTCCGAAGTTAACTTCGGAGATAACTCAGTTGCCAACGCTAGAACCGAAACGGTTCTTGCGTGATCTGCGCAGTGGCAAAGTCAAGCAGATCTGCATACTCGTCACGGAGGATGAGTATGTGGCCGATATTCGGTCGGCAACAGTATTTGCTGAGAACGAACGGGTTCTCAGCAGCTCATCGATGGACGAAAGTGTCCTCGATGAGAAGACTCGGATTGAGCGATACACGTCTCAATCCTGGGAGTCACTTCAGGCAAATCCTTTGTATAAGGATTTGATTGAATTCAAGGATGTATTCCCTGAATCCGTACCTTGCGAGTTGCCTAAGGACAAAGGCACTCGACACAAGATCGAGCTCAGACCGGGCTAGAAGTACTGTGTCATGAAGCAGTGGCCACTGCCTCGTGAACAAGTACTAGCGATCGACAAGTTCTTTGCCGATAGCTTAGCAGCGGGCCATGTAAGGGAATCAACATCCCCTCACAGCTCTCCGACCTTCTGTGTGCGAAAGGCCACAGGAGGATGGCGGATAGTGCACGCGTTCAACAAGTTGAATGCTGCAACAATACTGGATCAGACGCCGATACCGAGGAAGGACGTAGTCATAGATGGTATGTCAAAGAGTACCATCTTTTCGTCCATGGATCTGATGGATGGGTTCTGTCAGATCCTCATGCGTTAATGAGATATCCAGTACACAGCAATGAGTACTCCAAGCGGTATGCTGTGGGAGTGGCTAGTGATGCCACAGAGGCTGAGTAATGCCCCTGCAACATTCAACAGATGCGTCACGAATCTGTTGAGACCGGTGCGAGACTTTGCACCGAGTTACTTCGACGATGTGTTCGTCCATAGCCGGGCTATGGACGGAAAGACGGACGTTGAAGTTCACAGAGCTCACTTTCGTCAGGTTCTTCAACTTATGCGCAAGCACAAGTTGTACGCCAACCTCAAGAA